TGCATACATATGTGTGTGTGTGTGTGTGTGTATGGCCAACTACACAAGTAATACATTGTTATAATAATCCTTCCATAAGAAGTCAGCTGTGATCTTCATTGAACCAATACCAGGCTTAGCTCACAGGGTTGTTTAGATGGAATGTGCCCAAGAAGGTTTCATTTCACAGAGTCTTTAGTAAGAGCCCCCAAAACTTTCTCAGACCATTCTAAAGATTTAATTATCCTATCCTGGCTAAATAATTTTATATACTAATCAGTTTCATGTTGGGCCAGAATATGTGAGATTTTATGGTATGGATCTTCTTGTTGTTTCAACTGAATACAAATTGACAAAGGTGTATAAAATATGTATATTTGCCAAACATTGTGAAAGATTACAATTCCTTCTTACTTTAAGGAATGACTCCCTCTAGGTTTTTCTTGCTTATATGTACAATGCGTGATTCTATCTACCATAGGAATTTCAGTGGAAAAGTTCAAATGATGCATGGTATTTATGTTGTTTCTACCTATAGCTATCTATCTCTATATCATCTATATCTATTCATATCTAATCTATATCTATATCTATCCATATCTATATACTTTTCTAAGATAAATGCTACTTATCTTTATGAAAAATATATTAAATAATTAACAGCATCAACCTAAACCATATACAGTATCCTTTAATGTTATGCATAGTCATGCACAACTTAACAATCAAGATACATTGTGAGAAACGCATCGTGAGCTGATTTGGTTGTGGGGATGTCATGGAGTGCAATTACACAAATCCAGATGGTGTAGCTTACTACTGTGATTGTATGTGCTACACTTTTATACCACTGGCAATGCTGTAGGTTTGATTATACCAGTATCTCTCCAAACATGAGTAACTGTAGTGTAAGCCCTCCAAGTGGGCTTCTTTTTGTAAGGCAAATGCCTGATTTAAGATTTAATTGTTCAGGCCTCCACTTCAAAGCTAGACATCTCAAATAAACACTTTCCCAGTCAGGTGACTAGATAGAATCAGGACACCTCCCTTCACTGAGACTCCTTTATTTTAGAGGTCCTGCTTGACTTCAATAACTGACCATTTAGGCTACTTGATTTTGTTTTCCTCTTTTCCTGTGAATTCTTTTTCTAATGTTTTAAATTCACCATTGAAGGGTGAGCCCTTGAAACCCTAGGTTCTAATATGTGCCCCCAATAAAAGCAGAACCCCAGATCCCTGCACACATGTACTTTTTCTACCTGTGTCCTCACTGGGAGCCCCATTAGCTTACCTTGTATGCCCTGCAGCTCATAAGTAATGAACTCTATTTTTTATTCAAAGTTTCCTAATGGCTGAAGGGCCTCTTGCAATCATAATAAAAACCGAAGATTCAGCCCAGTGGTAACTTTGGTTTTGAAAGGAACTATTTTTGTGGTGAACTCCATGAGCTCAGGTGAGTGCCTTCAGGTGTTTCTAGCCCATAGCATTACTGTTGATAGACTGAGAAGGCACAAAACAGAAATACTTTGCACTATGACATTATGATGGGCTACTACATAACTAGGCTATAGGGATTTTGAACTCCACTATATTTTTATGGGACCACTGTCTTACATGAGGTCTGTCATAATGGCATAATGCAATGCCATTAGTAGTCTATTACTATATTCCTAGTGTTAGAAATTCTCAAGATTCAGAGACCACAATCTTCTTGACAGGTAATCTTAGAAATCATATTTGAGTGTATATTCTTTCTACTTTTAATTGTATGTTTTCTGAAAAACTCATAAATAGTAACATAAGAAAAACATTTTTTCAGTTAACTGCTAATATTATAGGACCAGACAAAAGTTCAGACCTAACAGGTTAAGACAATACAGTGCTCTCAATTTTCAAAAAAAAACATATTGAATCCTTTACCAAGAGGGATACTTTTGTTTTGTTCTCAGTAGTGTATTTTATTTATTTCTTTATAACATCAAAAATAGAACAGGGTATGGTAATTGCATAGTCAAACAGGACTGAGTGGCTTTAAATAAATATATTTCTGTCCCCCCTATCCTCACTTCCAGACTAACTGTCCTGAGATATTCAGTTTGCTATTTCCATTTTTAATTCTTCTGATGATTACCAACATAATTCTAAATAGCACACTTATTTCTATTTATTTTTTCAGTTTTCACTATATGATATATGAAAAATGAGAAATTTAGTACTTACCCCTCTTTCTTGGTTATTTGCTGTGTTATTTTTAGTTTTATTGTTTATATAGCTTTAAAGAATATGATTAATGCCCTGGCTGGCGTAGCTCAGTGGATTGAGCGCGGGCTGCGAACCAAAGTGTCGCAGGTTCGATTCCCAGTCAGGGCATATGCCTGGGTTGCAGGCCATCACCCCCAGCAACCGCACATTGATGTTTCTCTCTCTCTCTCTCTCCCTTCCCTCTCTAAAAATAAATAAATAAATAATCTTTAAAAAAAAGAATATGATTAAAACACCGTTGTTCATTCCACCAACTTTAGAAAACAAAGGAAGTGGATTTAAATGACATAAATAATTACCAGTCCAACACTGCTTATGTGTGTGGGTTACTCAGCAGGGCCACAGAAATAGGCAGAGTGAAGGTGATCAGCAGGGACACCCTGAGTATCATGATCTGTTCACATTTAACTCTAACTGGAGAATTCAGACTTAATTTTCTTTTTTAAATTTTAGGTAAGTAATTAAATTATTTTAAAAAGCTGGAGCCTAATTAGGAACCCTTGTTGATTGCCCTGTCCATGGAAAATAGGATAGAATTGCAGACAATGGTGAGATTTGTAATGCTTCTCAAGATCTGAGTAGGGTCACACTTTTGGAAAAGTTCCCACAGATTTAACTAGTTGAGGCAAGAGTAATGTAGCTCCCCTGTGAGCTGCCTTTGTATGAAACAACCAGATTCCTTCGAGAAACAACTAGGAAGATCTGATCAATCCTTAACTCCTACATTCAAGCATAGACACTTTGAAGAGCATTGAATTTTTTCAATTTACAAAGAAATACAGACATTATATAGAAGGTCAGCTCACTATTGGGAAGGGGTGTGAGAGTGGGGATAGGTGGAGGGATAGGAACAGAGTAAAATGGAGAGAAAGAGGGTCAGAAACACAATGGGGGAGAATAGTTTATGAAGAGTATTGCATTGTGTGAAAACAGTAGTTATCTGGATTTCATTGGGTGATTTGGATATTGATTTAATATTTCATGGTTCCAAATCCACATTTAAAGAAATAAATAGAATATTGGTAAGTTATGCTTGCCTAAAGCTCTTTATTTTTAGGAAAATACTGATAGCATTTAAGACCACTAAGAGCCCATAGAAGATTATGACCTCAACAGAGGCAGTAAGATATATGTGAGCTCCAAATTATTGCTCAGTTATTATCTTTAATTACTCCAACTTCAGACTTAATATAACTTAAACATATTTTTACTTAATATGTATGTATAACTTAATAGTACAGGAGTTAGCAAAAGTAGATTTACAGTTGTGAGTATGCAAAACACAAAGTTTATTCTTGTATTATCATTTTCTAATTATTATATTTATTTGTATCACAATTACAAACTTTTATTTGTCTACCCCTGAAAAATGAATGCAAATTAAATATTGCAAATCTGGTTTTAATATTATTACTCTTTTTTAGCATATCAAATTATACATTTCTGCTGATATTATAAACTACTGATTTTGAATGAGTACACGGTATGTTTCAAGGTTCTATTATTTTAGAAGAAATAACATAAAAAATCATCACCATAATTAGTTAGAATGTGAAAGTGTCAGACATTGAGATAGAATTTATTTTCTTTTAGAATTACCACTTAGATATTTGGACTAAGGTTTGCAAAGACTTAAAGCAGTATTTTCCACACTGTGTTTTGAGGGTAGCAGTTCAAGGAAAAATTAATGTGTATTTCTAGAAAATGAGCTGTTAATACCTCCTTCTTATACAAATTAGACCTTAAATCTCAGAAAAGACCTACAGTGCAGTAGATTATCTTTTTATAATTTTGTTTTATAAAGTTTTTCTCAAGCTTATCTCTGCAGAGTGCATATTTGTTTAATATTCAGCATACCTGTTATAATCTCACACCAGGCTTAAAAACCTATGTCCTACTCACCACTGTTTTTGTAAATAAAGTTTTATTGCAATATAGTAATACCCACTTGTTGCACTTCCGTTACAATGGCAGAGTTTAGTAGATGCAACCGAGACTGTATCCCTGACAAAGCCTAAACACATTTATTTTCTGTCCCTTTGTAGAAAAATGTTTTCCAAATTGATAGAACAGAATATTCTCGTTATCAAATTGGAAGACACTGACTTATAGAAATGTATTAAAACTTTAAACTGAATCTTCTTGCAGATAATGATAAGTTAATACATACCTACATAATATATAATTCATTTTAACTATGTGGAATTTGCAATAATGGGATTCTGATTTCTAGAATAAAGCATTCATTACTAAAGCTTTTATTTTAATATGTTAATTTATGTGAAAATTTACAACATGATTTAGGAAGGAAAGAATATAAATATTCTTACAAATCTTATTTAAAGCCATGGATAAAAACAATGCTTGATAGCCTTATGTTTCTTTTGATAAAATTATCTAGAGAAAATTCAAAATTTGTTGGTATCTCTCTTCCTGCTTTCCTTTTAGGAGACATTCCTGGTATAAATTTCTATATATGTAACTACTATGTCTTTTTCATTTTGACTTGGAGTACACCTTGCTCCTTCAGATTCAAAATTAACTGACCTAAGGTGTTACATTACAAATACTAAAACCTAAGTTTAACTACTACTACTTTAACTACTGGTTTAACTAAAATTAGTTTAACTAATTTTTAAAAAAGCTTTTATGATCATTATGTTATCTAGCTGTTCAAACTGTAATCTCTGAATGTCAATTTTACATAAGGCATTAGAAATGAGGCTGAACTAAAAAAAACTCTCTGAATTTTTTTCCAGGAAGAACTGAACCCCATCATTGTTACTCCACCAATACAAGCCATTGACCAAGACCGGGACATCCAGCCACCATCAGATAGGCCAGGAATCCTCTTCTCCATCCTTGTTGGTTTGTGTCTGCTGATGTTTTACACCCTCTTACCACTCTGGAATCATGCAGGAAAAATAGTGTCTTAAAGCAGAGTAAACACCTTTAATAACAAAGGTTCTTTTTGGAAATTATTGTTATTTTTAAGTATAAATAAATTTTAAAATATTTTCTCTTTCTCAGAATTAGTTTCAGTGAAATATAGAGAGAACAAATGGAAAAACTTTTGTTGAAGAAGCAAAACATAAATTAAAATAACAGTTTAATCTACACATTGATGTTTTCCTCAATATCATCTCATATAGAATTCTCAGAAAAAAGTGGAAAAACTTACACTGTTTATCTGTATTCTTTCATTAGTGGATATAATTACATAACTCTGAATATATGTGACTGAATGAAATAAGGGTATTTAGAGCCATATGGGAGTAAGATCATAATTAGCCCAAGGGCACACAGTACATTATCCCCTTGGCTAATATTTCCTTGAAAAATTTTATAGAAGCTGTCTGAATCTATCCTGGTACATATACTGCTAATTGTAACAAAAGCAAAAATGATGAGAATTTTATTATGCTACCCACATTGCTTTTTTTCCCACTCAAATTGATTTTGCTAAAATATGGATGTTGCTGCTTTATTAGGATCTTAGTCTCTAGATTAAAAGATAAATCTGAGACAGATCATATATCTCTTAATAAAGAAGGAGTTGCTTTTGAAGTATGCTTGAAAATAACTATTCAATGGAATTCAACATTGCCCTCAGCGTTTTCCTATTCCCATGCATCTGACCTATGTGTATACACACATACATAAAAACACTACCTTCAGGCATTGGAAAGATTTCCAATTGTGATGCTATCACCTGCTTGAAAATGCTATCTATAAAATAAATTCAAGTAATTCTGTCCCAAGCCTTTAGTCTCTAGAACTACACATGTATCATGTGCCAGTTACTGAGATTAGACTATTAAATTTTTAAAAAAGCTTTTATGATCATAAGCATAAGTCTCTTTTATGTCTATAGGGGCCTTGGCATAGATAAATAGAAATAGGCATTTTCCATTTAAGACTTGAGAGTATGTCAATTACTGTGCTATATGCTGTAGATACGAATATGATAGTTAAATGTTCTAAGTTAGCATGAGGTAATTTATCAAAAGATAAATTAAAACATATAGTTTTAAGCAGTATAAATAAAGTATGAGCTGCATAACCATGTGAGGAGAGTGCTAACAACTTCTGAGAGAATTACTTAGAAAGTTAGGAAGGTTATTTTAGCAGAAAGACTGGGACTATCAGGTAGGAAACGCCAGACAAATTATCTAGATAGATAATACAGCATTTGTAGAGTCCAATGGGTGAAATTTAAAGCTAATCTTGGGGAGGCATGTTACTCAGGGTTGCTTGCACCCCTGGGAACAGAAGCAGAAAACACTCATCAGAATGTATGCAGTTCTCTGCTTTTTGGAAGGTGGGATTCTTTTTGCCAGCACCTGACTCCTGCAAACTGGGCGCAAGCAGCTCCAAGATGTGTACAGAGCTTCCTGCAAAGAGATTGAGGAGTGGGGATTGGGAAACTACTACTGTGTTCAGAGCTGTGACTGACAGAACATTTTCACAATTGATTGACAACCTCTTCCCCAGGAGGTTTTAGATTTCCAGCATAGTTACATCAGGACAACTCTACCAATGTAATTGTTGCCTCAGTGAAGAGATAGGTTCCTGTTCTTTCCTTCACTGTCATCTTCCCCAAATCCTGCAATTCAATACCAATGTGATTTTGATAGATTATGCCAAATTCTCCATCAGAGGTTTTGTAACACTCTTTTACCAATGCCAGAAATGTGTGAAAGTGTGTGTTTTCTCACAAACTCACAAATAGAGTATGGTTTACAGCGTGGAACATTGCTAATATAACAGTAAGAAATGGAATTTCAGTGTAGTTTTAACTTGATTTTTATTCTTATGTATAAATGTGAAGACCTTGGTTTATGGTCAAGACTCTTTTGCCTTTCTCTTCCTGTGAACTCTGTTCATTTTCTGTCCCAACCCTGTTTTAAATGCATTGTTGATACTTTTCTTAGCTAATTCTTTTCTGCTTTGTAAATCTACGTGTGTTAGAGATATGAACCTTTATCTCTGATGTTAATTCCAACTATTTCTCCTGGTTTTTCACCTGTGATTTTATTTTGTTTATTGTGTTTTACCATATAATTTTGTAATGTCATCCAATTTATCTCCCTTTTTACTTGTTGCTTTTTTTTTATTTTGAGCTATAGTTAGAAAACATATACCCACTCCCACATGAGAATAGATTTCATCCATATTTTATCTATTACTAACACTTACACTATTATTCATTGTACATAAATATCTTCTCCATTTGGAATTTGGTATATTTTATGAAGAATGGATGTAATTTCATTATTTTCTGTTTAGCTCTCCTGTTAGGTAAATGCTCTTATTCAAAATCTCTTCTTACTGTTTTGAGTTGACTCTATTATCATATGCTAATTATTCATACACAATTTTGATTACTTCTGAATTTTTAAGTCTATTTCATTACTATAATATTTTTTTTCTTTTGGTTGTTGTTCACTTGTTCTTTGCTCACATAGGCAGGAGAATTTCTTTTCTTATCTCAAAGTTAAAGCAAAGGAATAGTAGCAATTAACTCATTTTGGGCATGTTTGGATCCTGCAAACTGTATCTAAATGCAACTCTTATGTTACATTGTTTCTTTGACCCTGAACGAGTTATTTAATATCTCAAAGCCCCCAAATCCCTCTGTAAGTGGGAATAACTTACAGTTTTTTAAAAATTTTATATTTGTTGATTTTCAGAGAGAGAAAGAGAGAGAGAATAACATCAATTTGTTGTTCCACTTATTTATGCACTCATTGGTTGATTCTCTTATGTGTCCTGAGCAGATATTGCACCCAGAAACTTGGCAAATCAAGAGGATGCTCTAATCGACTGAGCTACCTGGCCAGGGCCAGAGAGTTATTGATAATTTCTTATATAAAACATATAGCACAGAGTAGGCTTCAATAATTAGAAATGAAGTTATTTTATTCTTGTGGTTATTGTTTGACCAAATGCATAGACTCTATAGTTACATGATTTGATGTTTACATTTTATTCATATTGGGAAGAATACTGTAAATATTGTTCAATATACAAAGGTAGATGATACAGTTGAAGGGAGTTTCTGCAAGAAGAAATATTTCGACTCACTAAAAGTTTACACTAAAGAAATATTATCTCCAGATACTAAGAGTATCATGAAAATATTTTATGTAGTATTTAAAATATTTTTATTTAATATAATTGATGTATTTAGTTTGATACTTATCTTAGGGAAAATATTTGCCCAGTTTGAACAGAATATGTTCATTTTAATTTCCAGGCATCTTGATATTTGGTACAAATTACTAGTTATTGTTTATTTCAAGATATGTTGAAAGACCATGAAGACAATAATTAAGATTTATGCACTATTAAAATAAGTTTTAGAGTTCAAAATTTGCTTTCTCAACACTTAATATTTCTTTGTATGTGATGAAGTTTCAAATAATTAAAGGGCTCTTTTAATAAAAGATATTTAGAAAATCATCCAAACATAACATATTTTTCATCCTCTTACTTATAAACTAATTAAGTATATACTACATTTGCATCTAATTTCCCTAGACTGCATAATTTTGAAATTTAATTTATTAATGAAATTGAAATTTTGTTCCTCAGTTAATGAAGGGAAATAGATATAGCAGATACACATATTACTCACTGTTCTCAATTATGTGCTGAAATCTCAATGTTTTTCAGGGACTCCTGAGGATTACCCACGGTTTTTCCATATGCATCCTAGGACTGCAGAACTTAGTCTCCTGGAGCCAGTAAACAGAGACTTTCACCAGAAATTTGATTTGGTTATTAAGGTAAATTAAACAGATTTCTTATTTTGTGTGTGTTTATAAAGTGCTAATCAAAGAAAGCTGTAGAAGCTACTGTAAGCACTTTAATATTTTTTAAAAAATCAAATTTAATTTGGACAGCAATTAGCCCATTGTTTTTATTTAAAAAGTAAAGTGTAGCAGTTTTAATACACTATTGCTTTTATTTAAAATAACTTTATTTTACAATGTGATTCCAATACTGAATATTTTTATATGTACTAAATGCCCTAGTCAAATGTATATAATTTGACATTCTATACTTTATAACATTTCTAACACTCAATTTTCTACTAAAAGGAATTAATTTTATTATTAAAAACTTAACCAATGAATATGCTTAAAATGTGCATAGATTTATATTTTTATTTTAATAATTTATTATTGTTATATGTTTCTGTAACATAAAAGGAAAGATCTCACTTATATAGAAATTATTTTAATGCATGTCTCATTTTTTAAAATGTTGATAAATGATCCTAGACTGAAAACATTTTTAAATCTTGGGAAATCCATTTGACATTATAATTTTGGTATAATAATATCTAATTTTATAATAATAAAATCATTTGAAAGGTACTGTGGAAACTCAGATGATTTGTTGATTAATTTGGATAGACTTCATTAATATGGTAAGATTTGTGCTGGGCAGTAAAAGAAGAGTAGAAATTTACCAAGTAGAAATGGCAGATGGGAGCAGGGCATTCTAAGTAAATGAAGAGACATAAAAAATGAAACAGCAAGTCTACTGTGTTATATAACTTTTTCATATCTATCTATCTATCTATCTATCTATCTAAGGTTATAGAAATGCAGTCTTATGGAATTTTTCAAATTTAAAATTGGTAAAGGAAAAGGAAGTGAGATAAGGAAGCTTACTGAGCATGGACTTTGTACAAGGTGTTTTATGTACTTTTTCACTGAACTATAACCATAACTGTAGTAGTATGCTGATTAGTACAAATGTGGAAACTAAAGCCCGGAGAGGGTAAGTGATTGGCATAGAGTTACATCAATAATAGGCAGCAGAATTGAGATTCAAATTTAGGTTTATCTAGTTTTTTTACCTCCCTAAAGTGCATTTGCTTAGAAATGGGTGTCTGGCTTAACTGTCAATGAAACTACAAACAATAATATGTAGAAATGCATTTAATTTCACATCTAATTAAGGCATACTATTTAGGACCCAATTATATTATTATCCATACCAGATCCTTATTTATATTATGGTCCTTTGTCCTTAAAAAATATAGTCTAGAGTGGAAAGGGTCATATAAGCCAATAAACCAAATACAACAAACACAGCAACTGCTAACAGGAAGAAACATGAGTGCTGATGAAGTGCAGAATAGGTATGTTTAAATTAATCTGAGGACTCAGAAGATTTGTTGGAGATTACTCCAAGCTAAATTTTCTGTATTGGAAGGGTTTTCCCAATGAGTAAAAGTAGAAAATATGTTTGAACATCAGGAAGAGCAGAAGTACAAGTGTGGAGGCATGATGTAGCAGGCTACAAGCAGTTAACAGGGAAATGAGGTATGGAGCCGGACCATGGGGCGAGCCTTCTGTGCCACTGCGGTTTCCTTGGATTTAATTCAGTAGGGTTTTGAGAGTCATTTAACAAAGACTTCTTTTACCATTTGTGTATAATGGTCATGCATGAGAGTCATCTTCTTACATTGACTACATTATTTTTATCATAGGACCCTATAAAACTCAAAACTGTATATCCATTGTCTGCTGTCTGTCTACCTGGAACCCTGCTGTGCTGCTCTCTGGAGGAATTAAGAAACTTGACAAAGCACTGTTTCCAAACTAACTCATATAAAACCTGAAATCAATTCTTTTTCTCCATTATCAAAGTCAGTGGTCTTAGTTTACCCAGTTACATTAAAACCCAGTCCATCAATTAATAGAAACAAACCTCAATTAGAATAAAATGCAGGTATTTTTTAAATTTTATATTAATACCTTGTATTTTAATGAAATTTTTAACATATTAGTTAAAATTACTGTGTTTTGTGTGCAATCAAGAGGATAATAAGCAAAGGCATCAGTCTATGAGAATAATAATGTGCCCCCTGCTTGAATAATAGCTGAATATTGTGGTTTTGCATAGAGGTCCACTGAATCACTACAATATGGGAGTTCTCTCCTATAGTAAGACTTTTACGTTCTTCCTTTTTCCTTATTTTAATAATGCTTCATTTTTCATTGACCATAAAAGTTTTTATTAGATTTGATCCCAATTTCTGTATCAGAAGCTAAGGTATAATAAAATAAAATGAAGTATCTTTTCCTAGGCTTTGAAGAAGAATTCTGCTTCAAAAAGCTGTATGTTCATTTAAGCGCTGGTGATGGTGATAAATTAGCGATTTAGCATCTTCACTTTATCTCTTTCTGCCAGTGATTTATTCAGTGTTCTGGCAAAGTGTAAAGGTGAAACTGGAAGGATACGATGGAGTAGTTCTCTAACCTTAGAATACGAAAGGAGTAAAACATGTCAGTTAAAAGAGGAAAGGATGTTCCAGATCAAATCATTATTCCAAATTTTATGTAATAGTAATAATTTAATCATACTTTAAGATAAAATGCATATTTTAAATAAGAATATTATATTTGGTTTGCCCCATTCAGTTCATATGTATGCCTTTTGTCCTTGCATAATTATTCATAAAACTCTTTCACTCTCAAAATGCCCCAGTTTGTATAAAATGTTATGTGATCACCATAGTTATAAAACAACAAAACATCTATGATACAGAAATATGAAACCACATTTTATTCTTTCTTTCTTTATTTTTTAAACAGTATTTTTTAAAGATTTTATTCATTTATTTTTAGAGAGGGAAGGGAGGGAGAAAGAGAGAGAGAGAGAAAAACATTAATGTGCGGTTGCTGGGAGTTATGGCCTGCAACCCAGGCATGTGCCCTTGCTGGGAATCGAACCTGCAACACTTTGGTTCACAGCCCATGCTCAATCCACTGAGCTACGCCAGCCAGGGCATGAAACCACATTTTAGATTCTAGATGATAATGAGATCAGGCATGGTGTTGATAACAAAGCCTGTAAAATTCACACTCATTATTATAAGTGTACCATTCCTAAAACATTTTATTAGTTGGTATTTTAATACTCTAAGCACTTAATAGAAAGATTAAATGGATACATTATTAATAATTCACTGCCAGTTGCTCAAACATAATTGTGTTTTTTATCTGAATCTGATAAATAACTAGTAGCAAGGGTCACAATAGTATCACAAACATCATTGTATCATAGTTTCTCTGATTTCCATGTTGTTACTCATTGACCTACTCATACTATCTATCTGGCTACCCTTGAACTTCTTTTCCTTCCACATTATGGACATGCTAATCATAAACTCTCATCAGTCACCCTGCAGGCTTTCTGTTCCAGCTGTATTAGACTGCTTGCAGTACCCTAAACTCATCATGCTCTTTCTAGGCTCCAGGCATTTACAGATACTGTCCCTCTTCCTGAGTCATTTCTCCCTTTAACAACACTAATGCACACTGATGTTTCGTTGCTGCTGTAGATGCTAAGATGACACTGCCTCTGGAAAGGCATGGCAGTTAGTTAGAAGCTCCTGTTTACATTTCTGCATATCCCTATTGTGGCTCTGGTCACTCTATGTTGAATTTACTCTTTTATTTTCTCCTGACTTTTATAGGAGGGCAGATTATAATATATTTCTTTACCTTGTGGCCTAACCCCTACCCTTATGCATGTACAGTGCATAGAAGGTACTCAAATATTTGTTGTCATTGGTTTCTTTCTGGTACAGTAAATCTTTTATGGCTGCTGGAATTGAGTCCCTAAAACTTCACTGTATTTAAATACACAGCTTACGGCCATTTATGAGTGCATGTTAATAAAATCTTCTTTCTCCAAAGATTCGATACCTTTTTGACACAAAAAAAAATGAGCCACAGAATTGAAACTGGTGAGCCTAAATAGCAGTGCTGAAGTGCCAGTGTCCCTGGCAAGTCTCTTTGCTTCAGTAATTCGGGTGTCAGAGGACAGCAGCATCTGAGGACGAGTGAGGCCCGGGAGAATAGCTACTGTAACCACACATGGGAATCTCTGATGCCACAGTGCAAGAAAATGTTTAGCTTCTCTTTGAATAATGATCTCAATTAAACTTTACACCATGAGGATTCAATGGAAAACTTTTTAAAGCAAATGGCATTTGCTAGTTTCCAATTTGCCAAATTCTTTCTGACAGCTTATTAGGTGCCTGACATTTTGCTTGGTGTTAAGGAGACATAAATGTATGAAAGCTCTGCCTTCGAGGGAATCACAAATATGGAAATTTTGCTTTCAGACTTACTTTTCTTCTGATTTCCACATTCATACTTCCAGTCATGGGCTGTATACCTACTCCTACCATTATACAATTGTGTGAAATTAAGAATGTAGTAAACTACACAGATCCATTTAAAACCTCTTTCTTTCCATTGATAATATAATAACCAGCCACTCACCCATGTTTGGAGCTCCCAGTTCCTCTTAGGACTTTACTTGGCCCCATATGTCCCCAACCAGGTACTTTTCAAATCCTGTCTAATTCCTCTGGAATGTATTCTTGAATGTATTCCTAATTCTCCATGCTCACTGCAGTTCTGGAGTTCCTATCCTTACAGCCCATCATCTCACACACATCTCTCAAACCTTAACCTCTTTTCTTTGCATCCCACCTCTCCCTGCATTACTAGTAGAGTATTGCTAAAACAAGAAAACAAAAATAGACCATGCTGTTCCATAGTGTCTTCAGGTTAGCTGACAATGTGCCCCCTTCATGAATTTCCAGCAGAGAACTTTGTCTATTGAAAGATCATGTATGTCAGGGACAGACAGACAGACTAGCAGGTCACAGATCATCAGTCATCACTTCTAAAATAGAAAGGATGGCATCTCCCATGAAAATGAAAGAACTATCAAAATTAATTAACTCTATTAA